AACTTGAGAATTGGGGGAGGGTCCCTGGGAGGCTGAAGGGCTTCTCACTTGCTAGCCTTCTTGCCTTCTGTCTGGGGTTTGCTTTCGGTCTCAGCCTCACTCAACTCCTCTGTGGGGCTCTGGGGTTCAGAGCGAGGAAACGCAGTCTTCAAGGTATCCACAATAGCACTCACCACCATCTGCAGGGGTCAAAGGTGCAGGTCAGTAACATCTCCAGACAGAAGCTGCCAAACAAGCAGTCATCTCACGAGTAGAGAGTCAAGCTATGTAGCAGAGCCTTATCCATCAGGAAAGTCAAACACCAGCTAATGACTTAGCGATAACTAACCTCCCTTTTCTCTATGGTCACAAAAATCTTCTTCCTCATAGAGTAAGACAAACAATGCCACGGGAAAAGAAGCCAAAACAAACAGCGGAATAACAAAAACCTGGGAGTTCTGAAGGCTCGTGAAGTATTTTTCAATTTTTTTCTTTTTATATGAAAAAGTGATGTCTAGTTTCCAAAATGATAACACCTTCACCAAGATGTGAATAAGTGGAAGTATTACAGATAGAAGTATAAGGAGAAAAGGAAGACTGAAAATGATGATCAATAATAAACAATCTAGGGGCATTTATAATATAAGCATGCTTACAGTAATTCACACAAAGCAAAGAATTGGGTTTTCCAGTAAATTCAAACAATTTNATTTCCTTCCTGGAGACAATAGAGAATCCTGTCATGTGCTTCAGTCACACTCAGTGCTGGAACAATTTTACTGGATGAGAACCTCAGTCTGGACCTGGTACATAAACAAAGAGCAGAAATAGAATGTAATTCATGGCCTTTCTCCCCATACAAAGGGCTGGCAAGAACAGGTAATGCATCAAAAGAACACCCATACCTACCTCTAGGAGCTGCGAGAAAAGACTTGGCCCTGAAATCCCCCAAACAATGTATATTCTGGCAGTTCTTAATAGATACCACAACTTGTACACTGAGCTACATCTACAATGCTTTTTCATAAGCGTCCATATACAGATGACATTTCCAGTAAGAGTTAAGTGTAGTGCCCTTGTCTTCCACATGTTGGCTTTGAGAGCTGCCAGGGAGCAACTGG